CATACTTATTATTTGTTATAATTAAAAATTTCAGTAATGATCATATTAGTTATAAATATTTAACACATGGTACAACACTAGAAATTGTTTGAACAATTTTCCCAGTAATAATCTTATTATTTATTGCTTTCCCTTCATTTATATTATTATACTTATGTGATGAAGTTATTGATCCAGCTATGACAATTAAAGCTATAGCTTCTCAATGATATTGAACATATGAGTATAGTGATTTCATCGGAGAGACAGGTGAAATAGTACAATTTGATTCATATATCGTACCAACAGATATGTTAGAGAATGGTCAATTAAGAATGTTAGATGTAGATGCTAGAATAGTAGTACCTACAAATACACATTTAAGATTTATTGTAACATCTAGAGATGTTATCCATGATTTCGCATTACCAAGTTTAGGTATTAAATGTGATGCTACACCTGGTAGATTAAACCAAGTATCAGCTTTATTACAAAGAGAATCAGTTTATTATGGACAATGTTCTGAATTATGTGGAGTATTACATAGTAGTATGCCAATCGCATTAGAAGCAGTATCTATAGATAAATTCTTATCATGATTAGATGAGCAATAAATTATAAAAATATAATTTTATATAAAATATAATTATATAATATTAATTTAAATTAAATATATATATATTAATTTATATATATATAAATAAGTAAATAAATATAATAATAATAAATTATTATATTAAAAATAAAAAGATTAGAAATATATAAAATAGATTGTCAATTAAAAGTAAATTTCACAAAAAAATGTTTATAGGAACTATTATATTAGTATTAAGTTTTTTAGGTTTCGTCTTTAATAGAAGAAACATTATATTAGCTTTTATATGTTTAGAAACTATGTTACTAGGTATAAATTTAATATTATTAAGAAACAGTGTATTATTTGATGATATATCAGGTAGTTTATTTGCTATAGTAATAATAATTTTAGCAGGTGTAGAATCAGCTATAGGTTTATCATTATTAGTTAGTTATTATAGATTAAGAGGTGTAATTAATAGTTATGGTATATAAATGTTTAACGCTATATCATTAATTATTATATTACCATGTATAAGTTGATTATTCCCATTATTCTTTGGAAGACAATTAGGTTATATATTTGTTACAAGAATGACAAGTATATTAATTATAATTACAACTTTAATTACATATTATTATTATTATCAATTATTAGGTAATAATAACCCAATAAATTTAGAATTATTTAATTATTTAAATATAGATTATTTAGATATTAATTATAATTTTGAAATTGATGCTTTAACTATTACAATGTTATTAGCTATAACTACTATTAGTAGTATGGTTCATATATATTCAATAGGTTATATGGAAACAGATCCTCATCAAGTAAGATTCTTCTCATTATTAAGTATGTTCACTTTCTGAATGATTATCTTAGTTACAGGTTCTAATTATTTCGTATTATTTGTAGGTTGAGAGTTTATTGGTGTAACTAGTTATTTATTAATTAGTTTCTGATTTACTAGATTACAAGCAATGAAATCAGCATTATCAGCAGTTCTAATGAATAGATTTGGTGATGCTTTCTTCGTATTAGGTTTATGTCTTATCGCTTACGTTTTCGGTACTCTAAATTATTCAACTATTTTTGCTACAGCTTATCTAATAAATACTGATCTATTAAATTTAATAATGTTAGCATTATTTATAGCAGCTATGGCTAAAAGTGCTCAATTCGGTTTACATAATTGATTGACATTAGCTATGGAGGGTTAAATTGGGCCCTATTAAAATTTCACTATATACGAAAATATCCCTCAATAAATATTATGATCCACTCATTTATTAAATGCTCGGTATAATTCATAATATGGGACAATTCGTAGGCAACAATATATTCATATAATTATATTATATTTATTATTGGAGCTTCAGAGACTACATGTGAAATATTATTAATTTATATATTTATAAATAATATATTACATTATAATTATTAATTATATTAATATATTATATATATTATAAAGTTAATATAAAGATATAGTCCGAACAATATAGTAATATATTGAGAATATATAATATATATATCAACATTAAGCCAACACCAGTATCATCATTATTACATGCAGCTACATTAGTTACAGCTGGTATTTATTTATTATTAAGATCAGCTAATATATTAGAATATACACCAACAGTATTATTAATAATCTTATGAATCGGTGCTTTAACTACATTAAGTGCAGGTTTAATAGCAATATGTTCTAATGATTTAAAAAGAATAATAGCCTTGTCAACTATGAGTCAAATGGCTCGAAAGAATCAAATAAAGATTCTTAGGAAGCAATCTATATGCGTAGAATTTATTATAAATAATATAATAAACAATTCGCAGGTAACCAAAACTCATTATTATATATATAATAATTATAATAATTACTTTTTTAATTCATATTTCGCGTCGCGACTTCTTAAAGAAGTATTATGAAAAGTAATTATTATCAGTCAGTTAGTAGGAACCTCAGAGGCCATACGATTGCTATCTAACATACATATTTATATAAAAAATATAAATATAAATATAAAACACTTTATTATTAATAAATTATTATTAATATATATACTTATTCTTTTAAAGAATAAAACTAAAATAATAAAAAAAACAACATATAAATATAATTATAAATTTGATTCTATTTTAACAAAATCATCATCATCATTATTATCTAATAATATATTAATTAATAAATTAGGTATAAGATATAATTCTAATATAACTAAATTAAAAAATATAGATATAAAATTAGAATCTACTAAAAAAGATTTAGTTCAACATAAGAAATTTGTTGAATGATTAGCTGGTTTAATAGATGGTGATGGACACTTTAATAAAAGTAAACAAGGTAGATCAGGTTTATTTATTACGATGAATATAAAAGATCAAGGTTTATTATATGAGATTAAACATAAATATGGAGGTCATATTAGAAAAATTGCAAGTTCAAATGCAGTAAGATATGATTTAAAACAAGATAAAGGATTAATAAAATTATTAAATGATGTTAATGGTTTAATAAGAAATCCTAAAAGACTTTTACAAATGAATATATTGTGTAAACATTATAATATTATAACTAAATTTAGTAAACCATTAACTTATCATAATGGTTGATTATCAGGTATAATAGATAGTGATGGTTCAATATATATTAATAAAAGTACAGATCAATTATATATAAGTATAACTCAAAAAGAAAAACATATTTTAGATCCTTTAATTCATTTATATGGAGGTAGAATAGATTTTAGTAATTCTAAAAAAGATTCATATAAATATATAATATATAGAAAAAAAGAAGTATTAAAATTATTAGAGAATTATTTTAAACATTATAAATTAAGATCTAATAAAGATATTAGAATTAAAATGATACCTAAACTATATGAATTATATATTTATAGATATAAACCTGAAGAGGTAGAAAAGTATAAAGAGTGAATTTCATTCTTAGATAAATGAAATAAAAATAGTTAGATAAAGAAATGGTCCACATAACATTTATTTATATATAATAATATATAATTTTATATATATAATGTTATTCGCAATTAGGTATGATGACAATCGCAATAGGATTATCAGCATATAACTTGGCATTATTCCATTTATTAGGACATGCTTTCTTCAAAGCCTTATTATTCATGAGTGCAGGTTCAATTATACATAGTATATTAAATGAAAGTCAAGATATTAGAACTTATGGAGGTTTATTAAGTTATTTACCTTATACATATATATGTATTACTATAGCTTCATTATCATTAATGGCTATGCCAGGTTTAACAGGATATTATACTAAAGATATTATTATTGAATCTACATATGGTTCATATAGCATATCTAATTATATAGTATATTGAATAGCTTATTTAAGTGCAGTATTAACATGTGTATATTCAATGAAAATACTATACTTAACATTCTATTCAAATCCTAATAATAATACAATAACATATTATAATGCACATGAGTCTAATATTTATATTACATTGCCTATGTTTATATTAGCTATATTTGCTATGTTCGCAGGGTATCTTCTAAGAGATATATATCTCGGGGTAGGGACAGAATTTGTAGGAACACATGTATTACCTAATAATTTTACATATTATGATACAGAATTCTCTATTACTCAATTCTATAAACTATTACCATTAATTAGTGCTGTATTAGTATCTATATTAATAGTAGTTTTAAATGAATTCTTTGCTGTAGTATTTAATTTAAATAATAAATATATTAACACAATATATTCAATATTTAATCAAAAATTAGTGTCAGATCAAGTTTTAAATCATTTTATTATATTTAAAGGTTTAGTTAGATCTGGTGATATAGCACAACACATCGACAGGGGATCGCTATATCAATTTGGACCAGTAGGAATTAATAGATTATTAAATAAAGCATCATATAATGTGATTAATTTAAGTTCTAATACTAGAAGTTCATTAAGTGTAAATTCAATGTTAATATTAATATCAATATTATCAATATTATTTATATCATTCATTTATAATTTAAATATAATATTAATTATACCTGTATTATTTAGTATTATCGCTTTATTATTTAAAAGTAACTTAGGTTCAAATACATAAATATAAATTATATATAAAATATTATTTTTAATTAGTTCAATTTAATTAACTAAAGATTTATTATTTTATTAAAAATATAAATAATATCTCTTATATATTTATATAGATATTTATTATAATTATTAATTGTAATCAAAATATTTAGGTAAATATAGTTAATTATATATATATATAATAATACATTCTAATTAATTTTTTATTAATTTATTAAGTATTGATTATATATATATATAAGGAATAGTTGTCATAGGAAGGACGAGCCTCTTGCTACGAGGTATTGAAAAATCTGCTGGTTCGACCCCGGCCTATTCCGAAATATAAATAATATATAAGTCCTTCTAGTTTAATGGTAAAACCATTGCCTTCTAAGCAATTTATCGTGGTTCGACTCCACGGGAGGATATTGTGTAAAAACAAAATAAAAATAGAATGAAAATGATTAAAAATCAAAGAATATCAAATTAAATTATGATAAGAAAATATATAATAATAAATATAAAAATGTTAGTTTAAATTATCTTTAATAAATGTCATATATTATGGCTTTAAGAAAAAAAAATAGTCTTTTAAATATGGCTAATTCATATGTATTAGATTCTCCTCAACCAAGTAATTTAAATTACTTCTGAAATTTTGGGTCTCTATTAGCATTATGTTTAGTTATACAATTAGCAACAGGTATAACTTTAGCTATGCATTATACTTCGCATGCGAGTTTAGCCTTTGACTCTGTGGAGCACATTATGAGAGATGTTAATTTTGGTTGATTCATTAGATATGCTCATGCCAATACTGCATCATTCTTCTTCATATGTATCTATGCTCACATGGGTAGAAATATATACTACGGTTCATATAAAACACCTAGAGTATTACCTTGATCAATAGGAGTTATAATCTTCTTATTATTAATCATAACAGCTTTCATGGGTTATGTATTAGTATTTGGTCAAATGTCATTATGAGGTAAATTAGTTGCCTTAAATATATAATAATATAATTTAATACAATATATATAATATATATTATTGTTATTTATATTATTATATATAGCTTTATATAAATTGTTAATTAAACTATAATATTAATAACACTATATTGGAAAATATTATAATATATATATGTATACTATAAGTCTATATATATGTATAATTATATAAAGCGATATAATTGAAAACTTGTCAAAGATATAAGTTAATATATTAAGACAGTGGGTTTATACAGAGATCCCAACAGAGTGGTTCAATTATAGATATCTGAAATGATATTTAATGTGCACTCGGAATTTATAATAGTTAGTATTAACTATTACACAAGGTTTATATAATAATATATTAAAAATATTGATATATTAATTTATTAATTTCTCTTCTATGTATATTCGAAGTTAAGTTAATATTAAATTATATAAATACATGCTAATAATATAATTAACTAAATATAATTTTATAATATTAGGAATAGTTATAAAATTATATTTGAATATTGTTATATTCTATATATTATTTTAAGATATCCCTCTTAATAATTCATTATTATTAATAATATTTATTATATTAAATATTTATTTAAATATAATATGAATTAAGTTAAATTTGGCTACAGTTATTTGTAACTTAGTTTCAGCTATACCTTGATTAGGAGAGGATATTGTACACTTCTTATGAGGTGGGTTTAAATTAGAGGACCCATATTATAATAATAAATTATTAATTATAATATTAAAAATCTTGCTTATTGCTGGAACACCCTTCTTGTCAATAATAATACTATTAAGACATATAAATTTATTATATATTTATATTAATTTATATATAAAATTATATATAATTTGAAAGAAGAATATAAATATGAAAATTAATAAATGAAAATTAAATATAATAGGAGGACAATCAGCAGCTGTTAGGTATATAAATACTAAAGCAGCTCAGAGACTAAACGCAAGAAATCTAATAAAAGAATCAAATAATTTAGATGAATTATATAAAGCTTATATTATAGGTTTAATAGAAGCAAATGGTTGAATATCTATAAGTAAAAAAGGTAAATACTTAAGTTATGAAATAGGTATAGAATTAAATATAAAAGATATTCAATTATTATATAAAATTAAACGAATGTTAGGTATAGGTATAATAAAAATATATAAAAGACCTATATCTAAAAATAGTAAAGAAATATATGAATATTGTAGATATAATATAAGAAATAAGAAACATTTAAAGGATATAATATTACCAATATTTGATAAATATCCAATGTTAACTAATAAAAAATATGATTATATGAGATTTAAATATCATTTAATTAATGGAACTATATATTCAGAAAATATTGAAGATTATAAAAGACCTTTAGATACTCAAATATCTATTAATAATATCTTAAATATTAATTATTTACCTTATTGATTAATAGGTTTTATTGAAGGAAAGGGTATATTTAAAATATATCAAAATAAAGATAAAAAGGAATGTTTATTTGAAATATCTCAAATGAATAATAAAATTATAATAGAAGTATTAAAAGAGTATATAAAATTTAATGTGAAAGTTTATACTAATAGTGATAATATATCAACTATAAAAATTACTAGTGTAAATGATATAAAAGCATTATTAAATTTTATGAAATATAATCCAGTAAAATTATTAGGTTATAAAAAACTACAATATATATTGTTTTTAAAAGAATTAAGAACAATAGATAAATATTCAAATAATATAAAAATACCATCAAATTATTAATTCAATTATTAGATTATGATATAGTCCGAACAATATAGTAATATATTGAGAATAATATAAATATAAATATAAATATTATCAACAAATTGCTCAGTAGGTAACCCTACATTACAAAGATTCTTCGCATTACATTATCTAATGCCATTCGTATTAGCTGTATTCGCATTATTACATTTAATAGCATTACATACTGCAGGATCATCAAATCCATTAGGAATTACATCTAATGTTGACAAGCTATCTATGCACCCGTATTATAGCTTTAAAGACCTGATCACAGTTTTCGCATTCTTATTAATGTTTAGTTTATTCGTATTCTTCTCACCAGATAAATTAGGTCAAAGTGGCCTACTATATTAATATTAATTAGTTTATATTAATATATACGTATGTGCTATATGCTGGAAATATATACATTTTACAGATAATATAATATCTGCAATTATTTTATAATTAGAGGGATAAAATGTTAAAATTTATAACAAAACTATTAATATTAAAATATAATATTAAAGTAACATATTGTTATGTCATTAGACACTTAATATATAATAATATTAAGTAAAATATATAATCAGCAGATAACAAAGATAATAATTATAATTATTATTAATGGTATCTCAGAGACTACACGCACACATATAAATAATATATAATAAAAATATATTAGAATTAATATAAAAAAATATATTAATTATTTATAATTATGGAAATAATATTTCAAATCAAAACTAATAGAAGATTATAATTATAAATTTATAGAAGATATAGTCCGTTAATTATAGTATTATACTATAATTTAAGCACCCAGATAATTATATCCCTGCTAACCCTATGGTTACACCAGCTTCGATAAAAGAAGTCAAATATAATAAAAATAATTCAAATAAAGATGAAATCTTAAATCAATTAAATAAAGATATTAAGGATGAAAATAAATATATAGGTTCTAAAGCTTTTCAACAATTAGCTAACGGTTTATTTCAAGCTGAAGGTCATATTGGTGGTTATTTTGAATTAGACCATACTAGTAATTTTAGACCTATATGTTATATCTCAGTAAATGCAACTGATGAATCAATAAAATTGTTTAGAATATTAAATAAAAACTTTGATAATCAGTTAAATTATACTGTTTCTTTAAATAACTCAGGTTTATATCATATAAGAATATATACAAGAGATTGAAAATTAATAATAAATAAATGAATACCTTATTTTAGTTTATCACATGGAGATAAATTAAGAGGTTTAACATATTTATTAAAAGTGTATTATATTCAATATTCAAGTAAGAATAATGAAATAGACTCTATTATAAAAAAACTATACTTAACATATAATATAGTTGATAATAGTGGCAGAATTATTTTATTAAAAGATAAAATAAAATTAGTTATTAATCATTCTTATCCTGAATATAATCTAAATAATATTGATTATAATATTTATAAAAATTATCTTTTAAATGTATTACCTAAAGAACATACTGAAATGAGTATACCATTCATTTTAGGTTTTTATTTAGGTGATGGAACATTTAATATAAGAATAAGAGATGAAGGTGTATTACCTTGATATGTACCATTATTAAGAATCTCTCAGAAATATACAAAAGATAATGAAAGATTATTTAAATTAATAATAGATTATTTAAAAAATTATGATATAGAAACTAAAGTTAAATCTTTTAAAGATGGTACAGTTTTAGTATTTAAAATAGAATCAAATAATAACATAAAAATGATATCTAAATTATTTCATGAATATGAAGATTTTTATTTTATAAAAAAAGATCAATTATATTTTATGTATAAAGCATCTAAATTATTAGGATTAGTTAAATTTTGAAAAGAAGGTAACATTACTTTATTAAAATTAATATCCGAATATAATTTAAATCATAAGGTAAAAGATGAATTAAAATATGATTATTATTTAAATAAAATAGAACAAGGTTTTATTAATCAAAATGAATTATTTTTTATTTCTAGAAAAGGTTTAGAAGGTTATTCAGTTAGATTACCTTTTAAAATAAAACCTAAAACAAAGTATTTTTTCTTTAAGACTTATAATCATGATAAGGATTTAACTTTAAAAACAGCTTTAGATTATAGAAATAAAATGTTAAATTTATATTTAATAGAAAATGATTTAATTAAATCTTAAATATTTGAATTATTATTATTATTAATTAAGACTTCAACTGTCGCATTTTAATTAATATTAGATGAAAAAAAGGGTGAATTGCAAGAAAATCTCTGATAAATATTATATTATATTATCATAGACAATTTGCAGCGAAGCTTAACTGTCATATTATATATATTTGATATATAATTATATTAATAATTATTATATATATAAAAAGGTTAAGAACGTTCAACGACTAGAAATAAATATGTTATATGTGAACATAATTTCCACGAGCGCCTTTGCACTGTCAAACGATCTGTTTGAGTGTATGACATAGTCTGAACAATTACGTGAGTAATTGAAGTTAGAGATAAAGAGCTTTAACGATAACAACAATTGAGTTCCTGAGTGATATCTATTACCATTCTATGCTATATTAAGAGCTATACCTGATAAATTAGGTGGAGTTATCGCCATGGTAGCTGCTATATTAATATTATTAATATTACCTATAGTAGATAGATCTATAATTAGAGGTAATGCCTTTAAACCAATATCTAAATTATTATTTGGTTTCTTTATATGTAATTTCTTATTATTAGGAGTTTTAGGACAAGTACATATTGAGCCACCATTTATAGTATTAGGTCAAATCTGTACAGTATTCTATTTCTCATATTTCTTAATATTATTACCTATGGTTTCTACTTTAGAGAATATATTATTCTATATAGGAAGTTTAAGAAAATAGTTTATAAGTAAATTATTTTAATAAAAAATAATTAATTAATCATAAAAAATGTTAATTTTAGCAATAATTAGTCTTATCACTTTCGTGTCAATGTCTAAGTTGTCTGACAATAGAGCTATTATCAGATTAATTAATATCTATCTAATTTTAGTATTAGTATTAGATAGTTTCTTATATCTATTATTCTTAAATAATCAAACTTATACTGTTATGGGTGAATTATTAATATTTAATTCATTTACATTCTATATTGATATGTTATTATATTTTATTATAATAGTTATATCAAGTTTATATGGATATAATTTATATAATAATAATTTATATAAAACATTATTTGAGCCTAAAAAAGAATTAATTATATTATTTTTAATTAATATTTTAGGTGCATTATTAATTATACATTCTAATGATTTTATAACATTATTTGTAGCTATTGAATTACAAAGTTATTCAATATATTTAATAACTGCTATATATAATAATTCATATAAAGCTTCTAAAGCTTCAATGTTATATTTCTTTATGGGAGGTATATTATCAATATTAATAGCTTATTCAATAAATTCATATTATAGTGTATTAAATTCATATAGTTTACATACATTAGATAATTTAATTATTAATACATTAGATTTAAACTTTATATTAATAGCATTATCTTTAGGTTTATTATTTAAAATAGGTATCGCACCTTTACATAAATGATTAATATCAATTTATGAGAATACACCTATATTAATAACTATATATATAAGTTTAATACCTAAAATAAGTATATTATCATATTTAATATTATCAAATATATCAATAAATTCATTTATAATCTCAATATTAGCTATATTAACATTATTAATAGGTTCAATAGGAGGATTATTACAAATTAAAATTAAAAGATTATTAGCTTTTAGTGGTTTAACTAATGCAGGTTATATGATGTTATTATTATTATTAAATAATAATGATTTCTCATATTTATATTATATATCACAATATAGTATATCTCATTTAGCTATATTTATGATTATTATATTTAGTATATATTATATTAATTATATTAATAATCAATATAATCCTATAATATATGTAAATCAATTAAAAGGTTTAATATATGATAATGCTTATTTAGTATTATCAATGTCTATAGTAATATTCTCATTTATAGGTATACCACCATTATTAGGATTCTTTGGTAAATTAAATATCTTAATGTCTATTTTAAATAATGGTTATTACTTTATATCTATTATATTAGTTATTGCTAGTTTAATATCTGCTTTATATTATTTATACTTATTAAATGTAAGTATACAAGATAAAAATAATATATTAATAAATTCAAATGAAACTGTATCATCAGTTTTAAGTTATATATTAAGTTCATTAATTATAATTATTACATTTGGATTTATATATAATTCATTAATTATAGATATATTTAATGTCTATTTTAATTAATTAATAAAAATAAAAAAAAATGAATACATTTATCATCTTTATTATTTTAATACCTATTGTAGGTTTTGCTTTATTAGCCGTAAATATATTATTAGCAGTATATAAACCATATAATGAAAAATTAGGAGCATTTGAATGTGGTTTAACTAGTTTCAATCAAACTAGATTAGCATTCAATGCAGCTTTCATTTTAGTAGCAATATTATTCCTACCTTTTGATTTAGAAATATCAACATTATTACCATATGTTATGTCAATTTATTTAGTATCTAATTATGGTTTCACTATCGTTCTATTATTCTTATTAATATTAATAATAGGTTTCGTATATGAAATTAATACTAATGCTTTAAAAATTAATAAACATAATAAACCTAATACAGATTCATTAATTTATAAATTATAATTTTTATATATATTTATATATAACATTTATAATATATATTTAATTAATTAATTAGTATTATTATTATATATATAATATAGACATAAAATATAAATATTTTATGTTAATTATATATATATATACTCTTTTATATTATAATATAATTTATAATATATGGTACCATATATCTATTTATAGATATACAATATAAGTTCAAATCTTATAAAGAGTATTAATATCAATATCTATATTTATATATACCTTTTAATTATATATAAATATATAAAGTTAATTATATATATCTAAATATAAATATAATTATAAATATAAGTATAACTTTATATAAATATATCAAAATATAAGAGTATCAATATATGTATATAATTATATCCATTAATATACTCACCCCAAATAAATATATTATATATATTTATTTGGGGTTGTGTAACATATCATATCATATCATATCATTTCATATCATATCGTATCATATTGCATGTTATCTTATCTTATATTAAATATATAAGATCATATTTTATATAATAAATATAGATTATATTTATAAAACTATATAAATATATAACTATATAATTATAAATATATATAAGGTATATAATTAATATAAAGAATATAAGGAATATAAATATATATCTCTGTCTAATAGTTTACACACCCCCCATATACATATATGTATATGGGGGGTATACTCATCATTTATAAATAAATATATAACTATAATAGAATATTTAATTATATATTAATAAGTATATAAATATATAATATAATATGATAATATAATAATAATTTTATTAATATAAAAGAGTATAATAAAATTATATAATATAATCATAATATTAAATATAATATTAAATATTAGATATAATATTAAATATATTAAATATATTAAATATATTGTATATATTATATATCCCCCCCCTCCAATATATTTATAAATATATTGGAGGGGGGCTATGAATCTTCAAAATATAATCATATATTCAATATCTTATATCTTATATATACTAATACATATCTTATATATATGAAACTATATATTATATCATATATATATATTAGAGTATAATATAATAAACTGATATATATATTATATGTTATAATATAGTTATATATATTAATTAAGTAATAAGTATAGTTGAATATGTATATGAAGATAGTTATATATAGTAAGGTCCACTTCACCCCCCATTTACATATATGTAAATGGGGGGGGTGGGTGTGAAACATATTAATAATTAGCCTTTATAGTTTATAATCTTTAGATATTATAATAATTATTATTATTATATATTATTAATTATATTATATTATATTAATTTATAATAAAAAGTATAAATATAGTAGATAATATTAAATATAATATTAATAAACTAGATCTCCCCCCTCCAATATATTTAAATATATTGGAGGGGCTATGAATCATTAAAATATAGTCATATATTCAATATATTATATATAGTATAGTATAATAATATATTCTATAATATTATTAATTATATTATATTAGATTATATTATATAATAATATATAGTATAAAAGTATATTTGTGTATAATACTATAAAAGTATATCAGTATAAAGTATATCTTCACCCCCAGTATAGTTATATATACTGGGGGTGGTGGGTACTATGTATAAATATAATAATTCATAATTATATAAATTATTATTAATACTTATATTTTTAATATCTTTAACCTTTTTAGTCTCTTTAATAGTTATAGATTTATTAATATCTTAAATATATAGATCTACAATATTATTATTGTTGTTTAAATTATTAAATAAACCACACTTTGTATGAAAACCTTTAAAATTAAAAATAGGATTTAAACTAAAGTAAGGATAATAAATATATTTATTATTTATACCATCTAAAATATTTAAATTAGATGGTAAAGGTATAAATTTATACCTGTTATATTTATTGTTATTATATTTGTTCATCATCATGTTATTTATTGGGGGTGGGCTATTTCTAAATAATATTAGGACAGATTATAAATCAGATTCAACTAATAAAATCTAATACCTAAAACAGTATATAAAGCATAAGAAAACGCGATCTGTACTGTCAAAGGTGGGGAGAGGAAATACCACTGTCCCTATACACTTTATAATAAATTAAGAATTAACAGGCGCGTATATTTATATAAAATTATATTAAAATAATAAAATATAAATATAAATAAAAGTATATAAGTATATATGTATATTAGTATATTAGTATAATAAAATATATATAATATAGATGATCACATTGACCCCTCCAATATATTTATATATTGGAGGGGTATAAAAGGTATATAAAATATAAAAATATATAAATAAATATAATTATAAATATAAATATAAATATAAATATGAACATATATATCTATAAATATATAAATATATATAGATAATATTGTATTATAAAGTATAGTATATTAGCCCCCCCATACATATATTGTTAATAATATTTCTTTACACCCCCCAGAGGGGGGTAGCTTGAATATCATAGTAAAGCCAAATATATAAATATGAATATATAACTATATTTAATATAATAAAGAATATAAATTATATATGGGTATAATTATATATAAATAATTATAAATATAAAAATATATAAGTATAATAGTATATAAATATATCTTATTACGCATAGTATATCCCTCCCCCCCCTCCAATATATTGGAGGGGGGGGTATGTATCTTATCTTATATTATCCTATATTATATTATCTTATCTTATTTTATACAATATATAAATATAAATATAAATATAAATATAAATTATTAAAAATAAAATGTAATATTTAATAGATATTTCTATATATATCTAATGATAATGAATAAATATATAAAAATAATTAATATAATAAAATATTTGTAATCA